GCGGAAGGTCTTCCTGGTACAGACCCATGGAGATGAAGGTGTACGCCCAACTCCTGGACTGGCGACGCCGCGGTGTGGCAGTATCAGTCGGCCGACTGCAAGACTGGTCAAAGGAGGTGATGAAGGTGTTGTTCCCGGACGTCAAGTGGAAGGCGAGTCAGCGCTGAACGGAGCGGTTCCGCAAGCGGTGGAATCTCACCGTACGCATGAAAACAAAGGTGGCGCAAAAGACACAGCAGCGTAAGTGCGAGTCAGTGCACTGTCATCCTATCGTGAAATTCTATCTTGTATTAATGTCAACTTTCTTGCCCATGTCTGTTTAACTGTAGCGTGCTCATCCTCCCTTTTAACCGTCCCTCCCTCCCCGTGCGCAGACGTGGCGAAGCAGTGCAAGGAGTTTTGGCAGTTTGTCCGCGACGCACGCCACGAGTACGACATCGACAACCGTTACATCATCAATGCCGACCAGACGCCCTTGTGGTTGGAGATGCCGGCGACTACCACGGTGGAGCAGACGGGCGTGAAGTCGGTGCCCATCCGCAGCGGTGGTTACCAGAAAGAGAGGGTCACTGTGATGCTGGCGTGCACGGCGACGGGCGAGAAGTTGAAGCCGTGGGTGTTTTTCAAGCGCAATACCCTCCCAAAGGGTGACTTCCCGAACGATAAGAAGCTGTGTATGCGCGTGTTTCCGAGGGGAAAAACAAAACTACAATATAAGCACCGCTTGCTTGTATGCAGATGTCGTGGTCGGCTGCCAAGCTAACGGGTGGATAGAGGCCTCGGGCGTCATCGAGTGGCTCGGTGCAAGCGTGGTGCCGTTCCTGAAACCGAAGTTCGGATTGCAGAGCCGGAGCGCCATGCTGGTGCTCGACTCCTATCGTGGGCACCTGACACCCGAAGTCAAGGCGAAGTTCGCGGAACTCAACATCGTGCCGGCGGACATCCCGGTGGGATGCACGGCAGACTTGCAGCCGCTGGATGTTTCGATCAACAAAAGCTTCAAGGCGAGTGTTCGGCAGCAGTACCAGACCTGGTTCGAGCAGGACGGCATGAACCTCCTGACCGCCAAGTGTTCTCCCGTGACCGCTTCGCTCGCTTGTCTGCGTGCTTGTGAACTCACGTGTTTCCCACCCCCGTGTATGTGGCGCAGGGAACATCAAGAAACCAGCTCCAGAGGTGGTGCTCAAGTGGATTTCACGGGCGTGGAAAGCTGTGCCCGCCGACCTGATTAAGCGTGCGTTCCTCACCTGCGGCATCAGCAATGCCCTTGACGGGAGTGAGGACGGACTGGTGCTGGCGCATCGGAGAGGTCAGCTGTCCCACGAGGTGGAGGTTGATGACGACATCCAAGCAGACGGGTTTTTTGGCAACAACTCCACTGAGCCTGAATCGGACGAGTGTGAGAACTTTAGAACGAGAATGAGTGCACTAGAAAGCAATGGAGTACATATAGGAAACCCTAACAGGGTTGTACTCACTATTGAGTACTCCACTGCAGACTAGAGAAACATGATATTCTGACACACCCCCATAGTCAAAGTGGGGTATGATCAGCACAAGAAGCAAAGCAAAGCAAGCTCAGGGTGGATCACAATGTCACCACACATTCTGAGCACAAGTACAAGAAGTAACAGTTTAAAGTTCACAATAAATAAGTAAAGCTAGAGGCTATCACAGAGGGCAAGTGAGGAGGAGGAGGCGGGATTGTAAGAGGAGAGGAGATAGGAGGCGACGGCTGAAGCTGCAGACACACGGGCAACAGGAGTCACACTGGCACAGTGGCTACCGGAACAGCGCCCCGGACTACAGGAGTAACTGGCTCCGCGGCTAAGACGAGCGGCAGGAGCAACGGACCCATGGGCGACTGGCGCAGCTGGCTACGACTGGGCTACCAGGACAGCGCCCCGGACTACAGGTGCTGCGGACGACAAGACAGCAGCCTCCGCTCAACCACCCCAAACTGTCGCACCCCCCATTCACACACCCCCTGCTGCACCCCTAGGTTCACTCACACCCCACCCCCTAGCACCACGCCTTTGGCTCCCACACATCCACCCCCCTCAGCGGCAGCTGCAGCAGTGGGAGACAAAGGAGGAGGAGGGGAAGGGAAACATACCACCCATCACCCCCATACCTGCCACCCCCATACCCTCCTTTCCACGGCTGCACGCGCAGCAGGGAGACGAAGAAGGGGGAGGGGGGGGGGAGAGCAGCAACGGGCAGTACAGGGAGGCGGCGGCACCGGGTCCAGGGGCGGCGGCGCGGGGTCCAGGGGCGGCTGCACCAGGGGCGGCTGCTCCAGGGGCGGTTGCACCAGGGGCGGCTGCACCAGGGGCGGCTGCACCAGGGGCGGCTGCACCAGGGGCGGCTGCTCCAGGGGCGGCTGCAGAGGTCCAGGGGCGGCTGCACGAGGGGCGGCTGCTCCAGGGGCGGCTGCACCAGGGGCGGCTGCACCAGGGGCGGCTACTCCAGGGGCGGCTGCAGAGGTCCAGGGGCGGCTGCTCCAGGGGCCAGGGGCGGCTGCTCCAGGGGCCAGGGGTGGCAGCTCTGGGTCCAGGGGCGGCTGCTCCAAGGGCGGCTGCACCAGGGGCGGCTGCTCCGACACGCGGCCCGGGGCGGCTGCTCCAGAGGCCAGGGGCGGCTGCTCTGGGTCCAGGGGCGGCTGCTCCAGGGGCGGCTGCACCAGGGGCGGCTGCTCCGACGCGCGGCCCCCCCAGGTCGCCCCTCCCGTCGCCTGTTGAGGCGACCTGAGGGGGGGGGGGGGGGGGGGGGGGGGGAGGAGTACGGGGGGCCGACGCGCGGCCTCCCAGGGCGCCAGAGCAGGCGGAAGAAGGGGCGACGCGCGCCCCCCCAGGCGCCCCCCCCCCCCCCCCCGGCTCGCCACGCAAGGCGACGGGAAAAGGGGGGGGGGGGGCGGTGCACGGGCCCCTGGTGCGCCACGACAGGCATGAGGAGGGCGGGGCCTGGGCAGGGTCGGGGCATAGCAGGGGGAGGGCCGCGATAGGGCCGCGACAGGGTCGGGGCAGGGCCGGGGTCGGGGCAGGTCCGGGACGGGGCCGCGACAGGGTCGGGGCAGGGCCGCGAAGGTTCGGGACAGGGGCGGCGCCGGGCGAAGGGGCCGATACGGGTGGCCGCGACGGGGGCCTGCGACAGGGGGCCGCGACGGTGGGCCGCGACGAGGGGCCGCGACAGGGTCGGGGCAGGGCCGGGGTCGGGGCAGGTCCGGGACGGGGCCGCGACAGGGTCGGGGCAGGTCCGGGACAGGCCGCGAAGGGGCCGCGACGGGCCTAACGGGCCGCGAAGGGGCCGCTACAGGTCGTAAAGGGGGCCGCGAAGGGGCCTAACTGGCCGCGAAGGGGCCGCGACGGGGGCCTAACGGGCCGCGAAAGGGGCCGCGACGGGCCTAAAGGGCCGCGAAGGGGGCCTAACGGGCCGCGAAGGGGCCTAACGGGCCGCGAAGGGGCCGCGACGGGGGCCTAACGGGCCGCGAAAGGGGCCGCGACGGGCCTAACGGGCCGCGAAGGGGCTTACGAGGGGCCGCTAAGGGTCGTTAAGGGCAGGCGCAACGCGCGCCTCGGGTAGGAAAAAAAAAATTAGTGTAAACGTGGTGGGCCCTTAGGAAGGATCGATGTTGCTCTATACCATGTGAGAACTTTAGAACGAGAATGAGTGCACTAGAAAGCAATGGAGTACATATAGGAAACCCTAACAGGGTTGTTCTCACTATTGAGTACCCCACTGCAGACTAGAGAAACATGATATTCTGACAACGAGGAGTAGACCTTAGGCTAGACTTATCTTGAAAATGGTGTGTAGGCTAGGATTCTAGTCTAATGTATTTGACTTGAAAAAAATAGTTGAAATTTTTAGCTAGAGAAAGGTAGTTTGTACGTAGGTTGTAAAGAAAGTGAAAAAAACAACATATATTCTTGTCTATACAGCAAGGGTGCGCTTATAATAAGTACCGTTTTTTTAGAGGGTGCGCTTCTAATTGAGGATCGGCCATAAGCGCATTGCTCCAGATAGAAGCGCATGCGCATAACATAGGCCTGCGGCAGGCCTCTGGATAGGATTTGGGGTACTCTTTCTCGTAAGGCCAACACCCAGCCTTGACTCTTTCAGTAAGGGTGCTTCACAAAAACTGCTCTTAAAAATCAGGGTGCAAACAAATTTAATTCTTTATCTAGTATTTTTGCTCTCCGTAGTATGTGAGTTTTGATGTGGCAGTGTGTTGAGTAGTCGCAATTATGTGGGGAGCCCGAGTTCAATACCTAGCGCGGGCGTCCTGTGCGAAAAGTACGTTTTACGCAACCAATCCTGGTATCCTCTCTTAGATCGAACTCGATTTCATCAGTGCTACTACACCACATAGCTCTGAAATATCAGTGTCGTATAATCGATCACTTTTTTTTGTAAGGGTCTAAAACAAAACCAGTCTTGTAAAAAAGGGTGCATAGTCAAACCCACCCTTATAGTAAGGGTCATAAGGGTGAATCACCCTGATATCGAGAGGCCTGGCCTGCGGTTATATCTGGGGCGATACGGTAACAAATTCATTTTTGCCATGATATAAGCGCCGGCGCTTATGGCCGTTATTCAATTACAAGCGCCACCCCTAAAAAAAATGATGTTTTTACGGTATAGGCGCATATGCGCCTATATCCGGGGTAATACGGTAAGAGACACCCGTATAATAGACAACCCCTGTCTACTATTCAACACTGTCTTATATCCGGGTGATGACAGTATGTACAAGCAGCTCTCTTTATTATATTATATTACATCACTTCACATCACATCACACCACATCACATCACATCACACCACACCACATCACATCACATCACACCACACCACATCACATCACATACATCACATCACATCACATCACATCACATCACATCACATCACATCACATCACATCACATCACATCACATCACATCACATCACACCACACCACACCACCACACCACACCACATCACATCACATCACATCACATCATGAGTGCATCCGGCCTAGACTGAATTGAACTGTACTGCGCTCTGCTTTACCCAGCCCCTTCCGCAAGCCACACACATCCATGTCAAAGCTCTGCATGCCCCCACATGCATCATCCCCCACCACAAACACATCTGCCTCCGCACACACTAGCTTGTCTAACACCCCCCGTACCCCCCGGTCCAACCCATGCATATCCACCTGCTGCTTCTCCTCCACCTCTTCATCCCACACCACCGCTCTTAACTCCTTCCGCACGTGCCAATACGCCTCTGCCACATACCCCAGCAGCTGCTCGCCTGCTGCTCCCTCATGCGCCCACGAGTCGCTTTGTAACCGCACCGGAGGGTGGGGGGACTGGGATGCAGCAGATATGGGTGAGAAGGGTGGAGATGAAAGAGAGGAGGAAGGAGGAGAGGCGGGGGAGACGTCAGCAGCGAGGAAGACGGAGGAGGAGTTGAGTTTAGCGAGGTGGTGGCGGGTGGTGGTGACAGCGCTGGCAGCACATGCCATCAGCCATGCGTGCACAGACTCTATAGGCGCTGTGCCCGAGCGCACTGCCTTGCTCGCCTTGAACGTTATGAACTCCAGCCGCAGGTGCACCGCTGCGTACCGCCCTGCACCGTTCTCCCGCTCTTGCCACATGCCCTCTCGTGCGTCGCTTCCCAGCACCCCTCGCTGTCTGCTGTCTGACCCATCACCAAGCACTGCCACCATTGACCCTGCTCCTGCTGCGTTTCCCCCTCCTCCTCCTCCTCCTCCTCCTCCTCCTCCTCCTCCTCCTCCTCCTCCTCCTCCTCCTCCTCCTCCTGCTCCTGCTCCTGCTCCCACCTCTCCCCCTGCACCAGCCCCATCCCCCCCCTCCCCTCGTCCTCCTCCTCCCCACATCCTGTGTGCGAACCTCTCAGCAGCGCGGTGCAGGCCGGGCGAGAACGCAAGGCAAGCAGCGGCGCTTGCTCTGCTGTGCTCCCTGAGAGTGAAGAACCACGAGCTCTGCGCCACCACCACCACATCCACCTCCTCTATGCCCCCCGCCCCACCCGTACCACTTGCACTACTCCCCTCATCGCCCCCACTCCAGCTCCCTGGCGCATCAACCAACACCCCCTCCCCCTGCCGTTGCCCCTCCCCTGCACCCTTCTCTTCCCCTCCGTTCCTCCCTGCGCCCTCCATGGCTCGCAGCAGTGCGGCCTCCTCTCGCTCCATCTGCGCGCCCCAGCGCTCGCGGCGTGTGTGGTAGGCGGTGCGCAGGGGCAGCGCATTGGCGGGCGAGGGCGGGTGCTGGGCGATGGCGAGCACTGAGAGGAAGGCAGGCGACCAGGGGCTGAGCGCTGTGCTGCATGTGTCGTTAACGCCCGGGTTGAGGGGTGCAGGGATGGGGGATGAATGGGGGAGGGCGAGTGGAGAGGGGACAGGGGAAAGAGTGACACCTGCGTTGCCTAATGTTGCCCAACAACGATATAACATCCGGCTCCGAACACGAGAACAGCATGCATACTGGGTGCAAGCTGTGGCTTGTGCGGTGTGGATGCCATAAGGACAGAGCTGGGGATGGGCATGGGCATGGGCATGGGCATGGGGATGGGCATGGGCATGGGCATGGGGATGGGGATGAGGATGGGATGGGTATGCAGTGAAGTAATCAATATGTGAGCAAACAGGTGGCACTTGCTTGCAGGAGAGACAGTGCCGTTCAGGTCAAGCAAAATGAGGGAAAAAAACACAGGAGGGAAAAAGGGTTGAGTCACACGCGTGCAGGGCAGAGAGGGCATGGTGGCCACGAGGAAGAGAGGCAACAGCATGCAATTAAGAACAAGACAATCAAGAGGAGGGGACCACGGATGGTGAAAAAAATGGGAGAGAGAGATGGAGAGAGGGTGAGAGAGAAACAATGTGAGTGGGTGGGTGGGAGGAGGCAGGAATGGGCACGCACACAAAGCAGAGATACATGGGGCGCACAGCAACACCCCTCCTCCTTGCATACTCCAGAAACCAGTCCTCTGTGACCCACTGCACGCCACAGCGTTGCAGCGCAGAGGCGTCAAAGTAGGTGCAGAAGGGCAGGCGGCGTGTGAAGTCCACGCGGCTGTGGCCCACGCGCGGCACGATGAGCGTGCGGTTGAAGTGCCGTGCGAGTGCGGCGAGCTCTACTAGGTGCGCTTGGGGAGGAGGCGGGGAAGGAGGAGGATGTGGCGTCCATGCATGCCTGAGGGGTGTCGGGGGGGGGGGGGGTTGGGGGGTGGGTGGAGGGAGGAATGAAGAGGAGGTGTGAGGGGTGATGTTGCGAGGAGAGAAAAGGGTGCGGGGGGTGAGGGTGGGAGAGGGATGGGAGGGGGAGGGTGATTGGCCGTGAGGGGGCTGTGGAGCTGGGGGAGAGGCTGGGTGAGGGAGCGAAATGAATGGGGGAACAGTGGGGGATTGGTCCGATTGGAGGCAGTGGGGCGGCAGTGGCTGTGGCAGGCACATGTGAATGCAGCAGCTTCCGGCAACACACTGAGTCACTCAGCTCTGCTGTGCAGTGTGGTGCCGTGCTGTGCCGCGCGGTACAGTGCGGTACGTGCGGTACAGTGCGGTACAGTGCGGTACAGTGCTGTGCGTGCTCGCCTGCGCAGGGTTCACGTGCTCACCAGTTGCACGGTGGCATCTGTGGAGTGGTTGACACCGAACAGAGCAGCAGCCAGTGGCAGGCCCTCGTCGCACAGCCGTCTCACCATCCTCCCCACCTCCTCCCCCTTCCCATCCTCCCCCTCCTCCCACCTCCCCTCCGCCAGAAACCTCCTGCCATGCGCCCCGTCTTTTTCCCCCAACCGCGCCCCTTCCAGCTCACCGCCCCCATCCCTCTTACCACGACCCTCCCCCTCCCTCGCTGCCTCCTCCCCGTCCCCTCTCCCCCCTCCACCAAAGTGCCGCCTGACTTGCTCCCGCCAGGCAGGCGAGCACACGCCCTGCGCGTTCACTCGCACCAGCCCACGAGATTCCCTAGTCGCTCCAGCCTGCACCACCAATTCCGAACCTAGTCGCACAACCTCGCCCGCGCCGGCACCCGAACCACCGTTCCCTGAGCCTGCGGCTACTGCTGAACCTGGCGCACCCGGAGCAGCCCCGGCGGCGGTGCTGTGCGGTGCAGAGGGGCGGGAGGCGAGGAAGAAGGTGAGGAGCAGGAAGCCGCAGAGCTTCGTTGCGAGCGACAGGAGCGCCAGCGACGCCACCATCCGCGGCGACACGCGCCACCCGCACACCGTCCACCCGTTCGCGCTTCCGCCGCCGCCGTGCGCGCTGCCGCGCCCGTGGGTGGCGCTGCTGCCGCTGCTGGCGGCGGGAGTGGAGGGGAGTGACGCGGGCCTGGCGGGGACTAGAGTGAAGCGGAGGAACGACGAGAGGGCGGTGGAGGAGGCGGAAGGGGGCGGAATTGGGGGATGGTCGGGGGAGGTGGGGTCGAGCGCGGGAGGGCGGGAGAGCGCGGACGACGACGACGACGCGCGGGTCGCGTGCCGGCGGCCGGCAGACTTGACGGCGGAGCCGATTAGCGGCATGTCGGTCATGGCGGGGAGGTGGTGGGGGAGGGGGATGGCGTGCGGCGCGGTGTGCGGGATGTCGGGTGTGTGAGGGGCGCGCAGCGGTGGACGGGGGAGAGCGGTGACGAGCGTGCGGACGAGGGGAGGGCGGTGTGTCGGTGTGGCGGTGGTCGCGGGGTAGTTTTGGTGGGAGTCATGCCACTACAGCGGTGATGGTCGGCAGCAGCAGCCCCCGCCAGTGCCAAAGCCCGCAATTTGTACATCTGATATTGCACTGTCGCGAATGTCAGCCAACGCCCTTCTCCTCACGTGCAACACACAGCCAAACCCAAAAATGTGTTTCTCACCAAAAAGTGTTTCGCTCATCTATTTTGTATCGATACATCTGTATGAATATTATTCTTTGATTAAGCTTAGATTCGGGCCTACACTACATCACACGTTTGGACCTCCATCTTGCTCGCGACAGGAGGTTTCGTTGAGAGAAGTAACCAACTGCTTTCGCCTGTGCTCTGCTCTTCTCCTTTGCGTGCGGCACACGCACCCCACATCCACGTACCATTGAGCATTCCGCCCACCTCCAAAACAACACGGAAATATTTCCAGCACCTCCCGTCCCGTCACCATCGCATCTCAACATTCCCGTTCCTCCTGCCGTGAGTAGCATCCAGCGATTTCGAGTTCATTCAGTCCGCGTGTTTTCACCAACCCTTTCATCTGAACCGCATAGGCTCGCCTCGACGATGAGCACCAGCGCGGGTGATGGCGGTGAGAGTGCCGCGAGGACCACCACCGCCTGCGGTGGCGGCGGAGGCGGCGGCGACTCGGACGCGTCGTGCTGGTACTCGCGCGTGGAGCGCCGGAAGTGCCGCGTGGTGCGCGACGAGGACGGCCGACCCGTGCGGGAGTGCGAGCGCACGCAGGAGGTGCTGCGCCAGTGCGTCGGCCGGTGAGTGCCGCGCGGGTGGTGGATGGCGCAGCGAGAGTGGGTGCGATGAGAACGCGAGCGTGTGAGTGCGGGCGGGATGGAGCTTTGTTGTTGCACGCTGTGCCATCCCCGTACTCTGCTGCTCTGTGCTGTGCGCGTCACGGCGCGGCAGTCGTCTTGAGAATGATTATACAAGAAAAGTGAAGCAATCGCGGTTTGCGCCTTCGTGTGCTTGTTTTTCTCCCGGCTTCCTTAGCCGGGACCTCGACCAATGGTTAGAACGAGAGTTAGGATTCAGAGGTCGCGGCTGTGCGTTTCAACCGTCTTGTGCGAGTCCGCAGTCGTTACGTGTGCCGTGCGCTCTCAGGACCACTGCCTGCTCGCAGCTGAGCGCGTGCCCATGGGCGCGCGCTGTGCGCTCGTGGCGTGTGCGGTGCAGGAATCCTTGGACATACTCTTGCGGGACGCGCGGAGCGGTCAAGTCGTTCGTTTCTCTCGTCCCTTCCCCTCGTTCTCCCCTCGCCGCTCCAACCGCTCACTCCCTCGAGCCCCGCCCTCGCCCCCTCCCGCTCCCCCCTATCTCTCCATCTCTCCCGTTCTCTCCGTGCGTGCACACCTTCCCCTCGCACGCAGCCCGTCTGAAGTCGTGGAATCCCATTCGGAGGTCACTAGGGAGGAGCTCCCACCAGGCTCCGCGCTTTCTTCATCCTCCTCCTCCTCTTTCTCCTCCTCGTCCTCCTCCTTCTCCTATGGTGGTGGTGGCACCACATCTACACACCCTTCTCCCGACACGCCCTCTCTCCCGTCTCCCTTCTCTCACTTCCCCTTCTCGCTTCCTCCCCCGTTCTCGTCCCGCCCGCCGCCCTCGCTCCCCCCATCGGACCCCCATTCGTCTTCCGCACACCAACCACCCTATTCTCCTTGGTCCTCCTCCCATCCCCACTCGCACCCCGGCGGCGGCCCATCCCCCCACTCGCTGCCCACGGACCTTCCCTCTCTCCCGGACATGATTCGCGCAGCAGAGCAGCTAGCCTCGGAGGTTCTCACCAGGTTCGGCATAAGCCCCCCAACCGGCTTCCCAGGCTCGGGAGACGGTGAGCAGGGGTCTGGGTCAGGAGCGGGTGGTTCGGGAGGGCCATGGTCGGTGTTCCGGTTCGGAACGCGCGAGCCATCAACGCAGATATGGGAGGATGAGAGCAGCGTGCTGGATGGCAGTGGCGTGGGCAGTGGCAACAGCGGCAAGCATGGCACGGAGCAAAGGAATGGGCAGGGCATGGAGATGGAGGGGGGTGGGGGGGATGGCAGGTGGGGGAAGTTCGGGAGGTGGAGAAAAGGGGGGGATGAGGAGGGGGGATGGGGATGGAGGGAGGGGCATGGAAAGCAAAAGGCAAAGGAGGAGGAGTACCGTGAGTTTGCGAAGGACTTTGAAGATGTGTAGTGGGATGTTCTGTGCATCAGTGTCAATGTCAAATCATGTTTATCTGGTACCTCTGTTTAGACATGTTAGAGCATGTTCCTACGGCCTCTAGTCAGGCTGGCCTCTTGTCAGACTCGCCTCAAACACTACCGGTAATATTTCTGCTTAACCCTACTTTTTGTTTATTTCTTTCCGTTGCTTGGTGAAGTGCGTGACACAATGAGTGGGGTGACGTGGCACTGCGTAGCGCTCCCGTTCCGAAAGGTTGCAAAGGTACAATTGTTTCCTGAGTCCTGACAAGTCACAAACGACCGAAACGTGCGCTTGGTGGCTGTAAAATCTTCGTCTGCGCGAATAACTGACCTGGCTCGACGAAACAGCACGTGTGTAAAGAATTTTCCAGAATTCCTTATCGGGGTTGACTGCTTCGCGTACAGCCCCGATTTTTCGGACTCTGCATGTTTGGCCGACATCAACGATGCCGAGCCTCCTCGCGTCGCCTTCGGCCTTTCTCTTCGCCAAACTTGCACCCAACCTCACTCACCCGAAGTTCCCTCCTAGCTAGCCTACCCACTATATTAGCATGTGCCTTCATTGTAAAAGCAGTCTGTTCAATCACCTTCTCGTTATTCGTTAACCTGCGCACTCTCTTTTAGAACTCATAACACCTGGTATCAGAGCTACTTTCCTAGTTCACCCCGCTTTTCGAGGGTAGTTTGGTGGCACGGGTTGGTTGGTATAAGTGGACTACACGACGGTTGGCCGCAAGGTTTGTTAATTCAAACCTGCCCGACTCCGATAGTTCGTGTTTTCCACTTTGCCTGAAAGCCACGGAGACCCGCTTGCCCACCCGACGCAATGCTCGACACATGGATCAAGAGGCGGTTAACAGACTTTTGGCGCAAGTGGCAGAAATGCAAGAGGGCATGAAGACATTAATGGCGGAAGTGACAACGCTACCGTACGTGGCGAAAACGCCGAGCTACGCCAGGCGCGAGGTGAAGCGCGCCAGGAGTCGCCCAATGACGAAGGCGAGGGCAACAGTCAAGCGGTGAGCAACCCGTTGGACGCGCTCACATGTGACTTCGAAGAAGAGGACAGGCAGCGAGCGGCATCATCACCAGTTGCAGTAACGACGATCAAGATTAAACCCGTCAACCCGCCCCCGTTTAATCCTACGGTCAAGACGACTACAGTGAAAGGGTGGTTGTTCGAAGTTGAAGTCTTTTTTCACTGCAGTAGGTGTGAACGACGATGCCATGCCCATTAATTATGCCGTTTCTCTTCTCCGAGGTGCAGCGCTTGAGTGGTGGCGCCGAACCCTAGAAACGGGGACCCGGACAGGTGTGACACATGCGGCAGACGGGACCTCAACAGTGACTAATCAAGTGGCAGAGTCGATCTTCGGAGTGACCAAGATACGCACATGGCGAGAGTGGGGCGCAGCCTTACGAGATCACTTCGAGCATGTATCTGCCTCGGAGTAAGCTCGCATGAAGCTGCGTGCCTGGTCGCAGATGGCATCTGTCCAAGACTACACGGCGTCATTTATGGGCCTCGCCGACCAAGTGGATGACATGTCGGAAGCAGAGCGGTTGGATAAATTCATCAGCGGCCTAAAATACGAGATTCAATACGAGGTCCGCAGGAGCCGCCCGACAACATTCCTGGAAGCAGTACGGCTGGCGGAGTCAACTGATGCGCTGATGCAGTATGCGAGAACAGCTTCCCGGGAGGGAATCCGTTTTCGTGGCCAGACCCATCGTGCCACGATCAACGTCGTCCATACACCCGACCGCCCTCCTAAGGGACCGTGTTATCGGTGTGGGAAGATGGGTCACTTAATGCGCGACTGCCAAGAGAAAACGCCGCTGACGGGGAACGACAAGAAGGAGCAGGGAAATGGGAAAAGTCAGTAATTAGCGGGCCCTTTACTGACTGTGCTCCGTCGCCTGAACACCACCATCCCCACCGAGTCGTGGTTCCGATTCATGCAATCGATCACACTCGGCCAAATAACGGGGATACTCATGTGGATCACCTTGTGCTGGTCGCTGGCAAGGTGTTAAAAAACAACTTAAAAATGTTCGTCGACGGAGGGGCCAGCCATAGCCTCTTCAACTTGGCGACAACAAAAAAATGCAAGCTGCAACTTGACAGGTGTCTGCCCGAAATCGACGCTTGCCTCGTGGATGGGACGCCTCTGGCGATACTGGAAGAAACACGGACGGTTCGGATTGAATGCGGCGACAATTTCGGTTTCAGCATGAAGTTCCTCGCGACGACACTGGATGGCCGCGACGTGCTGTTGGGACGTGATTGGCTGCGACGGTACAACCCCGTCATCGACTGGACAACAGGATCGTGCTGCATCAACAAGCACGAGGGGCTAATTAAGCTGCGTGCATGGATACCTGACTACATCCAAGCCCCATGTGTCAAAGCTGTCACTATAGCTCGACACTTCAACAAGGGCGCACAGCTGTTCGCTGTTTGCTTACGCGAGTTGACGGTGGACACCGACGGAAAGGACATCGAGAAGCTGTGTGCAGCTGTCCCACCGGACTTAGCGGAGCTGATTCGACAATACCCCGATATCTTCCCCAACGATCTGCCACCTGGACTACCACCCGAGCGACATGAGGACCACAAAATCCAGCTGGAGCCTGGCGCGCAGCCGACTGTTCGGACACAATGGCGGTTGACCCAGCCGAAACTCGAAGAGTTGCGAAGTCAAATTGATGCACTGTTGGAGAAAGGATTCATCCGAGCCAGTACATCTCCCTTCGCCGCACCGATCCTCTTCACTCCGAAAAAGATGGCGGGCTTCGCATGTGCATCGACTATCGTGCGCTAAACCGCGTGACAATCAAGTCTCGCTACCCAATCCCACGCACCGACGACCTCCTTGACCAACTTCGCGGAGCTCGATATTTCTCGAAGATTGACTTACGCGGTGGTTACCACCAAATCCGAGTCTTCGCTGACAATTGCCACAAGACTGCGTTTCGCACCCGCTACGGCAGTTACGAATTCACCGTGATGCCTTTCGGCCTCACGAACGCGCCTTCGACTTTTCAGTTGACCATGAACAGAGTTTTTCGAGATCTTCTAGACCGATGCGTCATAGTCTACTTGGACGATATCCTCATTTTTAGCAAGACACGGGCGCAACATCTCCGCGACCTTGATGCAGTGTATAAAAGGTTGCAGGAGAATCGCCTCATCACCAAGGGCTCTAAGTGCGAGTTTTTTCAGCAAGAGTTGGAGTTTTTGGGACACGTTATATCACGCGACGGCATTAAAATCGACCTGGCGAAAATCAAGACCATACAGGAGTGGAAGTTGTGGGAAGGAGAACGCGAATGAATGAACTATGAATGAAGTGAGTACATATAGGAAACCCTAATTGGGTTGTACCCCCTATGGGATACCCCACTATAGCCTACACAACAGCATAAGCTATATAATGTTCTGACACACCCCCATAGGCAAAGTGGGGGAGAACAAGGGGTCACAAGACCAGTCACGCAAAGCACAGCAAGCTCAGGGTGGATCACAAAGTCACCACACAGTCCGAGCACAACGACAAGGCCACAAGGCCAGTTCACATGCAGGAGGACACATATATATATAGAGCTAGACAAGCAAGAGCAGGTATATATATGTGACAGTACAAGCAAGGTCAAGAGGAGAGCAAGTGAGGCAAGACAGGTACAAGACCCAACTGAGTGCAGAAGCGCTGATGGTCACAAGGCGCAAGTGCCTTGGTGAACACATCAGCAGTGTTGGCCTCAGAGGCCACGTACGCAAGTCGCAACTGACCACGCTGCTGCAGCTCACGAGCAAGAAAGTAACGGAGAGCAATGTGCTTCGTTCTGTGCTCCAAGCGCTGCTCTCGACACAAGGCCAGCATGGCCTTGTTGTCTACGTACAGCACTGGAGGAGAACGAGGCTGCTCTCCAAGGTCAGTCAGCAGGTAGGTGAGCCAGCGAAGCTCCTGTGCAGCCATGGCCCCGGCGTAGATCTCAGCCTCACAACTGGAGCCGAGAACAGAGGACGAGCGAGTAGCCCGCCACGAGACAGAGCCGGAACCAAGACTGAAGGTGTAACCCTGCGACGACCGCTGCGTAGCCTGGTCGTCAGCCCAAGAAGCGTCCGCGTGCCCAGTGAGGACCACTGGACTCCGCCCTCCAAGCACTAGCCCCATGCCCGACGTACTGCACAAGTAGCGCAACACCCTCTTCGCTGCAGCCATGTGCTCTGGTCGGTGTCTCCCAGGAGCAACATAGCGTGCAAGAATGCTAAGAGGGTATGCAAGGTCAGGTCGTGTGCAGGTCATCAGGTACATGAGGCAGCCAACAAGCTCTGGGTACGGGCCACTCGACTCTACGGACTCATCCGAAGGCAGAGCTGAGAGCGAGTGGCGAGTAGACAGAGGAGTGGCCTGAGGCGAGGAGTACGTGAAGCCGAAGCGCTGAAGGACCTGCTGCACCATGTGTGACTGAGTCAAGGTAATGGTGCGGCGTGCTCTGTCCCGAGTGATCTGCAAGCCAAGGTAGCTGCGCAGTTCACCCAGGTCTATGCACGTGTGTCTCTTCTGCAGCTCGGACTTCACGTAGGCTAGTCCAGCAGTGTCAGCTGTGGCAAAGACCAAGTCGTCGACGTACACGAGGATGTAGAACGGCGGCAAAGAAGTGTCGGTGCGCAGAAACAACGACGGGTCAGCAGTAGAGGGAGCAAACCCAAGAGCCGCAAGCGTAGTCCTCAGTGTGTCGTGCCACTCACGCGGTGCCTGGCGGAGACCGTAGACTGGCCGTCGGAGGCTCCACTGGGTGCCAGGAGGGAAAGTCCCAGTGAAGCCAGGTGGACGGCGCAGCCAGATCTCCTCGTGCAGGCTACCCTGCAAGAAAGCAGTGCTGAAGTCAAGAGAGTGGAGCTCGTAGTCGCGCTGAGCGGCTATGTGCAGCAGCACCCGAAGAGTGGTCATCTTCGGGGTGGGAGAGAAGGTCTGAAAGTAG